TCCAGCCAAACAAAGTACAGGCATGTGAGTTAAACATTTACCTCAAGTAGACACACGCCCTGGAGAGAACAATCATGGGACAAGGAAGGGCTGCTTATGCACAGGGAGATAGCTCAGGGTGCAGAAGAGTATGAAGGGATGGACACTGGGAGGAGGTAACTATGGGGAGGAAGTGGGAGGGGAGCTGCTGCATTGTAAATTTTGGTCAATGCCATGAGACAAAGTATATGTGAAATGCTGTATGAAAAGTGAATTTACTCTGTAAATCTTCACCCAAATCCTAATAAAAAAAAAAAAAAAAAAGAACGTGGTCAGCGTCACTGAACCGGCCGTGGAGAAACTGTTGACTGGGTGGGCGTTTGGCTGTGTGCATCCTCAACCAGGACGAACAAATAAAACTTAGAAAGAGAGAAGAAAATCACAATGAGGCACCCCTCCACACTCAGTGAACCCAGAACCCCCCAACCAACCACCCCAGTTCCCGTGGAGCTGACTCAGTCGTGGCGACCTCACGTGTTGCAGACAGCAGTACACGCCCCAGCATTTTCCGGGCTGTAACCTTTCAGAAGCAGACCCCCAGACCCTTCCTATGATGAGTCTCGGGGTGAATTCAACACACCAAAGCAAACAGCTAAATGAAAATCTATCAACAAACATGCTGTCCCTCAACTGATGGCAACCCATGCACAACAGAGCAAAGCATTGCCAGCCCTGCACCATGTTTAAAATAAAGTGACCCTATGTGGCCTTCTGGTAGCATAGTGGCTAAGGCACTTGACTGCAAACCAGAAGGCTGGAGGTTCAAACCCACCAGCCACTCCTCGGAAGGAAGATGGGGCAATCTACTTCCGTAGTGATACTGCCTCGGAAACCCAAGGAGGGGTCGCTATGAGTCGAGTCCGACTCGATGGCATGTAACAACAACAACAATGTGGCCTTCAGCCCGTAGTACAGACTCTGAGAACTGGAAGGGACCTCAAGGAGAAACCACCAAGACGGACGTTTTGGGCACAGGGCAGAGAGACCAGGTGGCAACACTGTTCTCCTGGGCAGAGCTGCTTCATCCTGGCTGAGAGAGAGATGGCTTCGGGTGGGCATTCCGTGTCACATAACAAACCCTGGGCCATTAGCCCGGGCCATTCTCCAGCCTTACCAAGTGACACTGAGCTAGCTGCTTCACACCTAGGCCAGGAGTTTGGTCTGCACAAGGAGCATTGGTCAGGATAGCCTGAGGGACCTCCCACTGTGATGTCCTATAGTCCTGTTTGTCCCCCTTCATCCAGCTCCCTCCCCGGTAACACTCTGCCCAGATTTGCCACTTTCTTAAAATCCCTGTGAGAGTTGAGCCCACTCCCCATCTGGAAAGCAGTCTGCCTATCATTTATCTACTCATTCATTTATTTTTAAATTTATTCATTGAAAGTTGTTTACACACTTAATTGTTCATTCATTCCATAAACTTTCCAGGGCCTGGCCTGTCAGGGTACAGCCCTGGCCCTAAGTCACTTTCTCCAACTTTTCCACATCAATTAAAATTTCTACACAGACTGTGTAATTGGATCTTTGGGACATCATCCCCAAAGCACCTCAAACTTTCTAAGCTGGGCACATCTCCACTCTTCCCTCTAAATTGCCTCAGGGATCGCAGGTCCCTGAGTGCACAGGGAGCTTTGAAAGTTGTCTCCTCCATCTGGTCACCTACCCCCGGGAGGCCGTCAGCCAGGAGGGAGCTGGGAGTTGCCAGGCTCCTGGGGTCCTGGCTGCCCACAGTAAACTACCCAGCACTCTGTCCAGCCATGAGCCTGCCAGGATTTTCAGATTTGACCAATTCTGATACACTTCAGAGTGAATTCTAAACACTTTGCATAATTCCACAAAATTCTAACAGCTCCCTGAGTTCTATCCAATTATATCAAACACTTCAAAAGTTCCTGGAAGGTCTAGGCACATTTTCACCGTTTGGAAATCTGGGTCAGCGGAAACCCAGTGTCCTGTCCTACGTGGAAGAGACTCAGGCTTGCGTTCTCCTAATTCCAGCTGGAGAAGAAAGCCCTTGGTCTCAAACTCTCTGAAACACCCTCACAGGGCCAGGGGCATGAGTCCACGGGAGCCTGAAGGTGAGTGAGAAGTGCGCTGTGAGGGTAGAGGAGGAAGCCTGGGCTGGGCGTCAGGAGGCCGGGGCGTTCCCAGGGCTTGGCCTTCCCTCTCTAACTCACCGTGTGATACTGGGCAAGTGCCCTTCTCCCTCTGGTCCTCAGTCTCCCCGCAGATACCAAGGGGTGGTCTAGCTGATCTGTAACATCCCTTCTGGCTGTCAGGGTGTCATCCAGGCTAGGAAGAGCCTGTGTTTGGCAGGGCTGCTCACTCCCTATTTGCATTAGCCCCAGACCTGAAGCAAAACAGAGGGAGAAGCTGGCCATGGTCAGGCTGAGGGCTTAACTTGGCCTTCAGAACCGAGGAGAGGAGCAGCAAGGAGTGGCCATCCCTTCAGACTGGGGGGCTATGGCGTGCACGTCATCCCAGTGGTACAAACACATGGCCCTAGGAGAGAGGGCTCAGGACGGCCAGAGACCAGACAGGAAGAGACCTCCGCGGGGACATTTTCCTGGAGAGGTGGCATTTGTCCTTGTTCTTAGGTAGGACCTGGCCAGATGAAGGCTGAAGGCAGAGAGGACACTTGGGCTCTGCAGACAAAACCTCCTGGCTCTGCCTTGGGAAGCAGCCTTGCACACCTCATTCCGCACGCCTCCTCCCCACAGACGGCTCCAGGCTGGAGGAGGGAAGGCCGAGCAGGCCCTCGGCTGACCTGGCACCCTTGTCCCACTGGCTCTCCTGCTGCTCATCTTGGGCGGTTGCTTCCTGCTCTCAGGGCTGCTCCTTGTCTACTGACACCTGGGATGTCCCTCCGGCCACAGTGTCTGTACGCCTTCAGCCAGTGAGGCCTCCCGCCTGCTTCACTGAGCCCTGGTCACAGGTCCAAGGGTCTACACTAGTGGTTGTGGCTGCCAGATAAATGTGTGTGCATTTGTGTGTGTTTGTGTGTGCGCACATGGGTATAGAAGAGAGAGCAAGTGAAAGGCCTGGTCCCCACGGGCCTACACTCGGGTTAATGACAGTACACGTACACACATGAGCCTGAAATGCAGCACATGTGCTCGCAGGCACCTACGTACAGATGTCAGCAGGGGTCTGGGCACACATGTGTATGCGGACGCACATGTGTGTGACCCTGTGTGCGTGTCCATACGTCACAAGTCGTCAGTGGCTGCACGTGCTGACTAGTGATTTTAGGAAACACATCCGTGGGGGGTGGGAGGGTACAAAGAGGAGGCTGTAACTCACCAGCCCCAAGGCTGCAGGGGAGCAGGACGCTGCCTCTGTGTCCGCCCCGCTCAGGCTCCGTGCAATGGACGGGCCTGCCCAGAAGCCCAGCCTTAGAGTCTCACAAGGAAGTCTTAGGGGGAGCTCACAGCTAACACACCCCAACACGACGGTGCCGCTGGACACAGTCAGGCTGAGGCAAGACCTTGCACTGAGGCCCCAGGGCCAGCTCGAAGCCCTCCTTCTGCAGAAATGGCCCTTAGTTCTCTGTGCATAGGACCGAGTGCTGTGCGCCGAAAGGAGCCCAGAGAGGGACCAATCAGCCTACGAAGGAGCAGAGGCCCAGGGCGACGCAGGGAGACTCCAGGGCAGGAAGGATTTTGTGACTCTCCATGAGGCCTAACCACAACAACAGAAGAAAAGTCCACGGGAGTAATGAACCGCTTGTCACCAGCAGCAGCAGCGTGAGGGCAGGCCTGGGGACAGGAGAGGACATCTCCATGGGACGGTTTGATTTAGGCACCCGTGGGCACTCTCCTCATTTGCCCTCCTCCTGCCTGGCACAACACAGTAAGTTCTTGGTTCTGAATCTCAGAGGGTAAAGGGAGGAAACGGTCTCATGCAAGCGGGACATTCAGCCAGGCCCAGGCCACAGCGCTCCCAGGGGACTCTCTGGCAGCAGGCGAGCCCCAGAACGCTAAGGGGGGGCTGAATCGTGCTCCTTAGCTGGCAGGAGGACTGTGGGGAGGACATGGGAGAAACATGCTTGTTGAGTTTAGACAATGTTTGAGGACGTGGTGTGTGCAAACATCTACTCTGAGCAGAGTGTATGTGTTGTGTTGCCTGCAGGTCTGTGTTCGAAAAGCACCTGGCCAGGGACCCGCTGTGTGAGCTCAGCTTCCCCACCTGCTCAGTGGGAGACTGTGGTAGTTAACTTCGTGTGTCAGCTTGGCTGGGCCTGGTTGAGTGGCTGGGCAGCTGGTGGTAGTTACTCCCCACGATGAGACTGACAATCAACTCCATGGTGGGATCTACCACAAGCAGCTGAGTAGCTGCCTTAGGGATGTGGTCTGCTTC